TCGTGGACACGCGCGAACAAGTTTCATGCCTTTGCAATAATGTTTTTTGGGATGACTTGTGAGTCTTATCCATCTCGTGCGTGGTCTTCACCCACTCGTCGCAGATGCGATAGAGATCGGCGTCGGCCCTCTGGCCCGCGCCGCGGATCTCGGTTTCCATCAGGTCCTGATGCGCGCGCGCCCTGCCGTGATCCCCGCGGGCGGCCTCGCGCGCGGCAATGGCGCGCAGAACCGCGCGACCCTTCAGCATCTGTTCCGTTGAGCATGGCGGCGCCGAGGCGATCGATCTCGCTAGCTATATTGACGAGATGGTGGCGGCGACGTCGGGCCCTTCGAGACCCGATGCATCTTGCTCATTAAACATGACGCGATTATTGAATCAAGCCGGCCGATGCCCCCAGGACCCTGCAACGCCGCGCCTCTTGGACATTGAACGCTTTCAGGATCTACCTTGTGGCCCATTGCCAGTTGAGGGGGCGCGGCGCGACGCGGCGGGTCGCGCGTATGCTCCGCCCCCTACAGCGGGCTGCGTCGGGGAAGGGCTCGACGTCGACCCACTCCGTTGACGGCGTCGTTCCAATTGGCAGCCGCGCCCAGCACTCCGTCGGGGGGGCGCCGCCCCCGTCTCCGCCGCCAGGCCGACCGCTCGGCAGCCCGTCGCACTGGCCACGCCGACGGTCGCCCTCATCACTATCTTCCTCGTCGAACGACTTGCCTTCGTCGGCCTCCGAGTCGGAGTCGTCGGAGCCCTCGCCCCGGTCGCCATCTTAATCATCGTCGCCATCGCCTGGCGGGCCAGATTCGCGTCGCCGCGTGGCCGGCGCCCTGGCTGGCCTGGGCTCGCCGCGCCCCCCCCCTTGGAAGGCGCCGCCCCCGCCGCCGTCTCCGCCGCCTGGTTTCTCGGGATTGGGCGGATTATAGCCAGAGAAAGAAATGGCCGGGACCGCCTGAGCGCGCCCCTCTCTCATTCCCTTCTTCGAGCGCCGCTCTGCCCCCTCCCTGGCCATCTCCTCCTCTTCCTGAGCCTGCTTCTCAGCTGCGGCGGCGGCCTCCGAGCGCTTCTCGGCGCGCAACTTCTGCCTCCCGGCCCTCGCCTCGGCGCGGCCCCCCGAGTTCCGCGTCGCTCCCGCGGGCGCCCCCGAGAGCCTCTGGTGCTCGGCCCTGGCGGGGTCTTCGGGCGTCTGGCGGCGGCGTCCCCTGCCTCCTGCTCGCCCGCGCGCTCCGGGGCGCTCGCGGCGCAATCGCGGCGCGCCCCGGGCGGCGGCGGGCAGTCGAAGGGCCCCGCTGCAGGCGCGGATTCGGGGGGCGATCCGTTCCTCGAGTCTCCTCCTCGCTTCGCTTTCCTCTTCCTCTTCTCTCTCGCGCTTCCTTTCGGCCTCGTGGCCCCCCCCCGCCGAGTCGTCGACGCAGGTGCCGCATTTCTTTTGTATCGAACCGCAACAAGAGTCGCAAAGAAACTCGCGCACCGCGCGCAGTCATTACCCGCGACTCCGTTGCGCGAGAAACGCCAGGGCCCGCCCGGGCGCGGCGCGAGCGCGACCGGCCTGGGCGCCCCCGCCCACGGAGGAGCCGCACTGGCCGCGGCGACCTTCGCCGCTCCGAGGTTCATCCGGGCAGCTTGCATCTCCAGCTGCTGGCGCGCGCGAAGTTCAACCCGCTGCTGGCGCAATTGATCGCGCTGTGCCCCCCAGTTCTCCATGGGCCGTAATGCTCTCATCGTGGCGTTCCAAGCCGCGATGCTCACCTCGTCACTCGCTTAAGCTGGCTGCTCCATCGGCTCAGTCTTTTCCAGCGCGCCGCGAACTTCGGCGGCGGGCGCTTGCCACTCGGGCAACGGCTTGCGCCCGTCTGCGAGCGTCGCCGGCTGGGCCTCTCCAGCCCCCCCGGGCGACTGGCTTGGCCTCCTCTGCGACGCTCTGGGCGAGGGCTTGAGCGCGCTTCTCGGCGGCTGCCGAGGCCTCCACCATGCCGGCGAGTTCCCGACGCTCCGCCGACGCTCGCGTCGCCGGCTTCGGGGCGGCAGTTTGCCGCCTTTCCCGGGCCCGCTCCGCGGCGCGAATATCATCGCGACGCGGTCGTTTTCGGCATGGGCGCGGTCTGCTGCGCAGTGTTGAACTTCGATCATCGCGATCTGGTCTCTCATCCGCGCCCTCACCCGGCCCCTTTCTTCGGCTAGCGCCCCCGCCTTCTCTCTTCGGCCTGCCCCCATTCGCGGCTACGCGGCGCCATGCAGTCATGCGCGAGAGGGGGGCAACGTTGTGGGCAGAGGAATATCGAGCTGCTCAGGCGGCAGCTGACAGAACGTGCATGACAAACTGCCTTCCTACGCTGTCCTCGAATACCAGGGCGGCAGCGTTCAAGGAATGCCGCGCGCCTGGGGCCTCGGTTGGCGCACGACTCATGAACGCGCAGGCTCGATGGGTTGCGACGACGCGCCCGACGCGGCCCTCGATGTCCAACGTCGGTCGGGCCCCTGCCCCTGGCCCGCGTAGAACGAGCGCGGGGGATGGGGGCCCTCGCCGCGCTGACATTCAGGCGCCCAGCGCCAGAAGTCCTCTGCCGACTCACCGGTGTGAGAGGCGACCCAAGGGCGCAGCCCCCGCGGCCGCCCCCCGGTTCGAGCACCTGGCTCTCAGCCACCATTCCCTCCGTCTTGGTTCGCTTCACGAGGATGGCCTCCCGCGGCTGCTTCGCCGCGGGCACTCTCGGCTGGGCTGCCTCTTCGGCGTTCTCCTGGGCATCCGCAGGCATGCTGGCCATCATCTCTGCCATTTCCCCTTGCAGGTCTTCCCGCGGGGCTTCTGCGACGCAGTCGCCAAAGGCGCAAGCGTCGGTGGCGGTTCCTGAGCCGGCATCGGGAATGGTCCGAGACAACAGGCCTCGGAATCACCACCCAGTTGAAACTCAACAGCCGTTTTCCGGCCCCCGCTTCTTCCGAAGAGAAGGAGACGTGATCATCCATTTCTTTACCCCAGGAGTCGGAAAATATCGCGTAGGGTTGACGGACGCCGGGCGAGTATAGTTGTGTGCTTGACCCATGCTATTCGGCGTCTGCCTCCGCCTTGTCTGTGTCCGCTCGCGGTGTGTCGCGACGGTTGGGGCTTTCTCCTGCGGGCGCATCTCCCGACGACAGCGAGAAGCCCTTGCTGAGGTCTTGCGAAGCACGCGAATCGGAACCCCTGGCGCAGTCAGGGGTCTCGTGCTCCAAGACGATCCTTTGGACTCTTTTTGAACCGCAGCACTGCTCTTCGCTACTTGGAGGCATACCTTCGTGATGTCATGATGAAGTTTTCGGTTGATAACCTGCATTTTGCACATTGCTCATGGGCTCGGGCATTGTCCTATTGACCGGCTGTTTGCCTGAATGTGTTTGCGCATGATATTATGGAAATGGTCCCAAGTTGAGCCTCAGAAAAGATGTACTTGACGCCATGGCTAGGATGTCCGCTAGGCGGATCTGCTACTGAAGTACGTGTAAGCCGGCTGGCCGACGGGAGGGGAGGCCGGGCGCGCGCGAATTTTTCTCACCTGGCAGCAGACATCATTTCATTAATACCACTAGTGGTATGATGGTTCCGCCTACTCCAAGTTGGAGGGTAAAAGGCGGGGCGGCGTGAGGGGAACGTTAGTAATGACTCTTCTTCCTCTTCCTCCTCCTCCACATACTCCTCCACATACTCCTCCTCACCCTCCTCCCCATCCTCCCCCTCCTCATCCTCGGGGGGGCTATTGGGCCCATCGTCCGCGTCTTGCCGCCAGGGATAAGCCCTGGGAGGGCCAGCGGACGCTCTTCTTGTCAGGCTGTGCCCGAGGGTTTGGTTTTCAGCTGTTGACCGTCAGGTATCGTACCTCCTCCTCCTCCTGTTCCTCCTCTTCCTCCTCTTCCTCATCCTCCTCCCCCTCCTCCTCCTGTTCCTCCTCTTCCTCATCCTCCTCGTCCTCCACCTCCTCCTCCTGTCTGCTGCCTGTTCCTCGTCCTCCTCCTCCTCCTCCTCCTCCTCGAGGAGGAGGATCCTCCTCCTCCTCCCCCTTTTGTTTCCTCTTCGGATGAGGGTGGAGGAGGGCATGATGCAAACATTCAGCCCTGCTCCGCTTCCTCATCCTCCTCCGAGAGAGGGGGAAGAATAAGATGAGGACCAGCGTAAACCCAAGAGTCATCAACGATGTTTGAATAACCCTTCCCTCCAAGCTCCTTCTTCATAGGCCCCTACGAGGGTTCATTCTCACTGAGAGAGGTGCCTCGTTGGACGATAACCGTTTGAAGATCCTGAAGCATGCCAAAACGTTACTCTCGGGAGTCAACGCCATGGATCAACCTGACTGTTGTGTGCTTGACGGTCCTGAGTGGTGCCAGAACGCTACTCCTTACCGCGAACCAACGTACCTGTTGCATCCTCATAATCCTGAATCGTTCCAAAACACCATCTCTGGTACGTTGACCATGGGAATCAGAGAGACCCTTGCAACTGTTGAAAAAGGAATGTGCGCGGCGCTAAGGCGAGAACCACACTTTGAAAACGTACCGCCCTCAATCCGTGAAGCCCTCGCAATATTGTAAAACAAGATGTGCGCGTCGCTGAGGCGAGAGCCACATTTTGAAAACGGCCCGCCCTCCATCTGCGAAACGGTTGCCAATGTTTGAGCTTCAGGGTCATCAATGATGAGGAACCCTCAGGCGAAACGCCCGGTCCGCCCTTTCGACCGGAATCGGGGTGCGGCAGGAAAACATTATTTATGAGGAACAAACATCTCGCCCTGGACCTCCACCCGATGGCAGCTTGCGGCTGGCACAGCGGAGCCAGGACGGCGCTCCACCCCGACGGCCCGAACGCCAACCAGGTGCGACCGCATGCGTGCGCTGTTGTTGCGGCCGCGCGGTCAGGATGCTGGCTGACGCGCGCAGGAAGAAGGAAGGGGGGAGGAGGGAGGGAGGGAGGGAGGGAGGGAGGAGGGAGGGAGGGAGGAAGATGAGGACGAGGAGGACGGAGGGAGGGAGGGAGGGGGAGAGATCCGAGGGGAGCACGAGCCGCGCCCGCGAAGCCCACGTTGGAGCGGCGGCTGGATCACACCGCCAGCGGCACCCCACCGAGGCGGAGCCAGAGGGCCACGACCTGGAAGCAGCCCCCGAGCCCCGAGCTCCCGTGGAGCGGAGCCCTCCCGTGGAGCGGAGCCCTCCGGTGGAGCGGAGCCCCGAGCTCCCGTGGAGCGGAGCTTGGAAGCAGGCCTCCAAGCCAGGGGCTGCGTCCTCCCGTGGAGCGGAGCCCTCCCCTGGCCTTCGCCAGGGCGGGGGAGGGTGGGAGGCAGCTCTCGGGCCGACAGCAGGCGAGCCAGGGGTGGCGGAGGCAACGATGGGGCACGACGGACGCGGCGGGGCTACGGAGGACCCCTGCTCCTCCTCCCTCCAGCCCCGCGCTCCGCCCGGCGCCGTCCGCCCACTCTCCTCCATCCTCCCTCATCCTGCCCCGCCCTCCCTCCGACCCTCCTTCCTGCTCCCATCCCACTTTCCCTCCTCCTCCTCCTCCTCCTCCTCCTCTTTCCTCCTCCTCCTCCTTCTTTATTATTATTATTGTTAGTATTGTTATTATTAGTATTATTAGTATTAGTATTATTATTATTATTATTATTAGTATTAGTATTAGTATTAGTATTAGTATTAGTGTTGTTGTTACCATTATTATTATTATTATTATTATTATTATTATTATTATTATTATTATTATTATTAGTAGTATTATTATTAGTATTATGAATATTATGAGTATTATTATTAGTTTTATTAGTGTTATTATTATCATTATTATGAGTATTATTATTACTACTGTGAATTGTTATGAATATAATTTAGATTATTACTACTAGCAATAGTATTGTTAGTACTCGTGTTTTTAATAGTAGTATTATTGTTAGTAATAGTGTTAGTATTAGTATGATTGCTAGTATTATTAGTACTAGTATTAGTATTAATAGTATTACTTTTCTTATTAGTATTAATATTATTATTATGTTTCTGTTTCTGTTTATGCTTATGCTTCTGCTTCTGCTTCTGATTTTTCTTATTCTTCTTCTTCTCTATATTATTCCTTTCTTATTATTATTAGTACTCCTCTTATTATGTTTGTTCCTCCTCCTCCTCCTCCTCCTCCCTCCTCCTCCCTCCTCCTCCCTCATCCTCCCTCCCTCCCTCCCCCTCCCCCTCCTCCGTAGCCATTTTGGCTCAAGGCCAAATGGCGTACCATCCACTGCCTCAGCGGGGTAAGCTCCCATTGCTTTCAGCGATCCTCTTTGCAGCCACAACCTCGGGCGAGCTGCCGCCCATCGCTTCCATATCCGCAGCGCATCTGTGGGACGAGCTGGCGTCCAGCCCGTCTGTGTGCGCAGTCGGCTCGGAGACATGGCGGTCAGCCGTGGACCCAACCGTGGCCAACAGCAGCGTGCACCTCCTCGGTCTCCTCAGCCAAGAGCTGGTTCTGGTCGGCCCGCGTACGACTACACGATATGCAAACAGTGCCGGTACCGATGGACATGGAAGGGCAAGTGTCGGAGTGCTTCATGCGCGGCAGGGCCTTCGCACCACCCCCGTCGGAGCACAAGCAGCCAGAAGGGGCCTGGGCCCCAGATCCGCGGCGCACCAGACAACCACCCGTCAAGAAGGACTACAGCAACCAGCCGCCCTCCAAGGACGGCGTCCCCCAGGCCCTCAAGCTCCTCCTCGACGACGAGAAGCATACGGGGCTGGTCGACCAACTACAGGATGCACTACAGGACCCCGTACCACCGCCGCCTGCGCGCACGGTGAAGCAGGCTCTCCAGTCAGCCCTCTCCGCCCCCACCGACCGCGAGCGGAAGTTCCACAAGACTGCGGACGACGTGGAGGCCGCGGAGCTGTGGCTGGCCGACGCCGAGGCCCGCCAGGAGCAAGCAGCCCTCGACCTCGTCAAGGCCAAGCGGGCATGCGAGCAGGCCCAGGAGGAACAAAGACGCAAGCTTGGAGAAGGGCCTGCGCCACCTCCTGTCCCCAAGGCCGACGAGCTGTTCCGCGTCGACACCACCATGTGGGACGACCTCGGGAAGTGCGACGACGCCACCAAGCAGCAGATGGAGCAGTGGAAGAAGGACCTCGACGAACGCCTCAAGGAGCTCAACAAGGGCCAGGAGCTCGTGCGCGAGATCCTTCGGCAGGCTAAGGAGTCCGCCGACAACCCTGCCAAGCGCAAGCGTGGACGAGAACAGGAACCTGCCGAGCCCGCTGTCGTCGACCCAGCCAACATCCCTGTGGGGGGCCAACCCGTGGGAGGAGGCGCCCAAGCACCTGCAGGTGCTGCTGCAAACGAGCCTCGTGAGGACGAGCCCAGCGCTGCCGATCGCGAAGCCGCTGCGGCCCTCATCGCCGACTCAGTTGCCAGGGCCAAGCAGTTGGCAGTCCACCAAGGGAAAAAGCAGGTCAGGATCTGAGTCGCCTGTTAGCCAGAAGTCGGGGTAACACTGACCTCAAGGCCCACATCCTCGTCGGCAACATCACGGAAGGCGGGGCCGCAGGCCGCGAACTACTGCCGCGCCATCGGCCACCAGTGCCACGCGCTGGCCCTCGCGGAGACGCACGTCGACGCCAAGGGCCTCGGCGACCTGCATGGCAAGCTCGCCATGGACGGTTGGAAGATGGCCGCCACCCCCGCCATCCCGACCCACAAGTCGGATATCGGCACGCATGGTGGCGAGTGGGTGTTGGCGCGGCGGGGCGTCGCGGCCACTACCTTCGAGGGCTACAAGGAGTACTACCTCCAGACCTACAAGCGCCGACCGTTCGTGGGCTTCTCGCCCACGATCCTACACACCAGGAGCGGCAAAGTGATCGTCGTGGCCGCGTACTTGCGGCCAGGCCTCCGCGACACGGGGGCCAATCGCGACATCCTCATGTCGATCTCTACGTTCATCGACATGCTTGCTGATCCCTGGATCACATTGGCCGGTTGGAACTACGAGCCGCCCTGGTGGAAGGACAAGCCGTGGCTCAGCCGCTGGAATGGCGCCATCGTCACCGACCCTGCGTGTACCGCCGCGTGCGACAAGGGCAAGGGCTCAATCTACGACTACGCGATCGTCAGGTCCGACATCGCATCCCGCATCACGGTAGAGGCGGTCTACGACGTGCCGTGGAAGACCCATTGCGGCATACAGGTCGCCATCGGAGACGCCGAGCCCTTGGGGCTACCGCACTATAAAGCCCCCCACAGCCCGTCCCACTCGAGCCAGGCCTAAGAGGGGCCCCGACACGACGAGTAAACGGTCGAGAGCTCGAGCGGAGGCGTTGAGGACCAGGAGGGGTAGGCTGCCCGAGCACCTCCGCGAGGAGTTCGATGCCCTCCACTACCCGGGGGCCCAGCCGCCAGAGGACGCCGCGCCGTTCTTCATCCCAGACACCGTCTGGGACACGGCCGCGCGCACTGCAGCCACGCACCCCGAGTTCCAGGGCGACCTTGCGGGCGCCAAGGAAGGCAGGGGCCACGTCTTCCACGCGAGCGCCCCCCTGCAGACGAAGCAGATCAACACTGCTTACGCGCACTGGGTTGCCACGCTCGGGATCGCCGCTCTGGAGGCCCATGCCGCGCCAGCCGAGGATAGTGCCAAGTACCAAGGTAGGGCGCAGGGGTACCAGACGGCCCACCAGGTCACGAAGGCCACCCCTGGCCGCGCGTACCTGAATGCCCCCGAGGCTAGCTGGTAGCAGCACTTCGGCGCGCTCCTGCAGCGCTACGTGGCGCTAGTCAAGAATGGCAAGGACGTGAAGGCGCGGGGGTCGATTGCGAGGCGCGCCCAGGCGATGCTGAATCAAGTCGACAGCAACGACGACCACAAAGGGCATTTCGGCCCCAAGGCCGACCCCACGGAGGCCGAGGAGCGGAAGCTCCAGGTGCCCCCCCCGGACTTTTGCGACGAGCACGACCTCGACCACATCTGCGCGACCACCCAGCGCTGGCAGCGCGGTGCTACAGCCAGAGCTGCGGGGAGGGCCCGCAAGCGATACCTCGACTGGGCCAAGCGGGCCTGGAAGGAGTCTCCAAGGAAGCTCCACCGCATCGTTAAGGACCCGAGCCCACCGAAGCTCGAGACAAAGTTCCAAGGCGTCACTTTCGCCGACCCCTACGCGGTCATGAATGGGGCCGCCAACGTGTGGAGGCAGATTTGGACCACCAACTCCTATGACGAGCAGCAGATCACGCAAACCTGCCTGGAGGCGATGCGGAGGGCGAGCGGGGACCTGCTCCCCTGTGCCGAGCCGCAGCACATATACGCGGTCGTCAGCGTCACCGACCCCAAGAAAACCCGCGGGGTCGACGACATCGGGCCTCTCGGCTTACAGAGATTGCTTCCCAACGGCATCAACCAGCTGGCGCAGCTCTACAATTTCGCGGAGTCCACTGGGCTATGGCCGCAGCAGTTCTGCGCCACGGTGGGAGCGATGGCCCCCAAGCCTGCAGGAGGGGGGCGCATACTTGGCATGCCCACCGCCACCCCGAAGACTTGGAGCAATATCCGAGCCACAATCACCGACCAGTGGTCCAGGGAGCTGGGCGAGTTCTGGGACACCGCCATCAAGGACCCCAGCGCTCTACGAGCAGCATTGACAAGGGCGCCCCTCGACGAGACGGCGGCGGCCCTAGGTTTCTCCTACGCGACCCTCCTTATGGACGTTGAGAAGTTCTACGGCTCAGTCAATTTCGCCAAGCTCCTGGACACGGCCATCCAGGTTTGGTCCCCCCCCCATTGTTGTCGCGCTGGAGGTGCAGCTGTTCATGGCCCCCAGGTGCCTGCGCATGCACGGGTGGGTCAGCGACGTCATCGACCCGCAGCGCTCCATCGTCGCTGGGAGCGCGCATGGAGGAAAGCTCGCCAAGGTATACTTGGGGCCCATTCTGGCCGAGGCCAACCACAACTACGCCTACGCAGGCATGTGGGCCTTCGTCGACGACACGGTCGCAAGAACTGAAGGAGAACCTAAGCAGGTCGCCAGGGACCTCGCCGACGCAGGCGCCATCCTGTGCGATGGCATGACCGAGGCGGAGCTCAAGGTCTCCCCGAAGACCACGGTCATTGCGTCCTCGGCTGCCGTAGCCCTCAACGCGCACACCTACCTCAAGCGCGCGGGCTACACCATCAAGGCGTCCCGCACCGCGGTCGACCTGGGCATCGAGACCGTCGGGGCCCGTCGCAGAGTGGCGGCAAAAGCCGCGCAGAGGGCGCAGAAAGCGAAGCGCAGGACTGGACGAATCATATCCAAGATCCGCAGGCACGCCTCGCT